TATATCTGATTATTACTAGTCATAGTCGATTACTTTCTGAGCTCCTTGGCATCTGAGCATAGATATAAAGTCATCAGGTAGATTTCAATGGTAATGTTTTTCATATCTACTAATTATTAAGGAGCAAATTTTTATGCTTTGAATTATTTTTTTATTTAATCATTATTTTTATTTTTCTGTATGAAACTGTATTTTAGTAATGAAATGGAGATCTTTTTTAAAAATTAAAACCTCATTTAATTTTATGTCTTACAGGGTTTATACTGAGTAGATTATTGTATAACTGTAATAATTCAACTATAAACCTAAAAATTTACAGCCAATATTGAAAGAGATGCATCTTAGCTCAGGAAATTGTTATTGAATATGTCAATGCTGTTGTAATGAAATGCTTCTTCTAAGTATGTGGTTATTAAATAATTTTTTTTTAAAAATCTGATAGTTCACAATGTAATAGTAAATCCTAACTTCAATTACATGTTTTTCTTCCTGGCTTTTAATTTTTGTTTTGTAGTTGGGCTACAACGTCTCTTAATAAATTTAGCTTTATAGTCTTAGACTAAGGTTCATTTTAAAACTAAGGAAAAATAACCCATATCCTGAGGAGCAATTATAACTCTCTTAAATAGCAATAATACCATTTTATGTAGCTAGTTAACAGAAATTCCAAACAAGCACTATACACCTAACATCAAAATATTTAATAAAGTACCTTTCACTAATATTAGAAATTGTGCTTGCATGAGTTTTTCTTAAAGCATGCATTAATTTAACTGAAAAAATTACAATGACTTAAGAAATGAATCGAAATTTAACTTTCTCTCACCTAATTTGTTTGAATATAGTTTACCCTCTTTTATAAACTTAAAGTGGTTTGGGGATCAACACAGAAATTAAAAACCAACTTGCTTTACCTGATCTTTTTTCACAGCATTTAATTTAAGCTCTGCCAGTGCATCAGCTAACTGCTTTTTCACTTTCTCATTTTCCAAGCGTGCAGTATATAAATCTGTCATTGTTTTATCTCGAACATTTACAGCATCACTGAGTTCTTTAGCCAGAAAGATAACTTCTTGCTGAGTTGCCTGAACCTGTTCCTCTGCTTTACGAAGTTGCTCCTTTAAAAATGATGGATCTTCCTGAAGAAAAACAGATAAAATATTAAGTTATAATCAAGCCATTCAATTTAAAAAGCAAGCAAACACACATATTTCAACAGGTTCACAATTTTACATTCAATAATGGCTTTTCTACTCCAGACTTAGATGAAGTACATGTCTATAAAAACTTCAGCTTTTAGAGTCTCCATTTCACAGCCCTCTACAACCTTCACTACTACTACTTTGTATACAAGAAAACTAAAGGACAAGAATTCTGTTAACACACCCAGTGATTAGGCCTGACTGAACTGAAAGACAAATGGAAGCTTCAAGAAGCAAACACCTACCCACCAAACCCCACTATCTTTACCCTCAATCTAGCCAGAACCTAGAACCCTAATTTTTCATGATTAAAAAATAATTTAAAAAAAAAAAAAAAAAAAGGCAGCTGGGCATGGTGGTGCATGCCTTTAACCTCAGCACTCAGGAGGCAGAACCAGACAGATCTCTGTGAGTTCCAGGCCAGCAGGACTACAGGGAGACCCTGTCTCAAAAAGACCCAGAAAAAAAAAACCAAACTTCTTTGTAACACCAAAAACTTTGGTTAAAAGATGTTTCCGGGGCTAGAGAGAAGGCTCAGTGGTTAAGAGCACTGACTGCTCTTGCATTGTACCTGGGTTTGATTCCCAGCACCCACATGGAGGCTATGAACCGTCCTAACTCTAGTTCCAGGGGTATCTAAAGCCCTCTTTTGACCTTCACGGCACTGCATGACATAGATGCATTCACACACATGCAAACAATACACTCATACACATAAAATAAAAATAATAAAGTATTTTTTTAAAAAGATGTTTCCTTCTTTCATGGGGCTGGAGAGATGGCTCAGAGGTTAAGAACACTGTTCTTGTAGAAGACCTGGGTTCGAATCCCAGCACCCACATAGCAGCTAACAACTGTCTGTAACTCCAGTTCCAGGGGATCCGACAGCCTCTTCTGTCCTCCATGGGCACTGCACAATACAGGTGCACTTACCTACATACAGGCAATACACACATACATATAAAATAAAAATAAAATATTTTGGGAAAAAAAAGATGTTTCTTTCTTTCAAACCTAAGCGATATCTAATATAATATCAAGCTACCATCAATCATATTATGAAACAGATTTATAACATTTTTAAAGGAAGGTATAATGAATATAATATACTCAACTTTCCTATTTTTAATCTGCTGAAAATAATGTAGAATTCAATGCTCATTTTAAAACTATTAGATCCTCAGGAAAACATATAAATGATTATATAATACTGACATAGACAAAATCTTTATAAACATATATATTTTTTTTTGAAATAGGGTTTCATATGGCTTTTAATTTTTACCTGTTTGGGAAGTTTAGGCTATAAAGTTCCAGGCTAGCCTGGAACTTGTCCTATAGCAGAGGATAACCCTCAACTTCTGATCCTCCTACCTCTACTTTTGAATGTAGGGTTTATAAGCATGCACCACCATGCCTGATCTATGTAACCGGTGATCGAATCGAGTGCTTTACGCATGCTACTCAAGCACACTACCAACTGGGCCACATCTTTAGCCCTCATAGTTTTAATCACTTAAATAATGTTAACTTCTACATCAAGAAAAGAAAAACTAGAGGAAAATTACTTGTAATATATTCAAGAACGGCTGAATACAGCTCTTTTCTAAACAAAATGAAGTATACATACCCCAAAATGCTCAAACATAGGAAGATGATTTCTTTTAAATAAATGGCTATTACACATAAAAGTTTTAACTCAAAGTTACAATAAATGTTTTCTTTCAAACTGACAAAGATTAAAAACAATAATCCACTATTTGGATGAGTCTGGAAAAACTGACACATTCACAATTATATAATCCAGTCTCAGCACTTCAGAGCACTTGCTGTTCTTGCAAAGCTTGAAGGCTTGACTCCCAATACCCACATAGCAGCTAAAGGTCTTCTGTAACTCTGACACCACCTTCTGGCCTATGAGAGCATTGCACACACATGGTGCACTTAAATAGATGCAAGCAAAACACTCATTCATACACATAAAAAATTTTAATGGGTCTGGAGAGAGAGCTCAGATAAACACGATGAAAGTGTGCTATATTTATATAATGGAATATTATTCAGCTATTTTAAAAAATGAAATTATGAAATTCACAGATTGATTAAATGGAACTGGAAACAATCATTTTAAGTGTGGTAACCCAGACCCAGAAAAACAAACATTGCATGTTCTCTCTCATAGACAGCTTTGAATTCTTAGATATGAATGTTTTAATTGGAAAAATTCAGAGGGCTAGAAACTAATAACGGCCATCGTAGCGTATCATGGGAGGGGAGACAGATACAATGATATACAGAGGGAAATGGGAATAATACAGTAGGAAGGGCTAAATGGGATGGGAAACTGGAGGGCAGAGCAGGTCAGAGGACAGAGTATGGGAAGGGATAAGTAATACTAAAAGCTTTAAGAAAAAGTCATATGGGGTCTGGAGAAATTGCTCAGTGGTTAAGAGCACTGGCTACTTTGACAGAGGACTGAGAGTTTGGTTCCAAGCACCCACATGGTGGCTAAGAACATACTCTTAACTCCATTTCCAGGGTATCACAAGCCCTCTTCTAGCCTTCTCAGGCATCATACAACATGGGTACACTTACATACATGCAGGCAAAACACTCATACATATGAAATGACTCCTTTTGAAGCTGCTGATCAGGGGTCCCAAGGACCCTCAAACAATACAAGCCACTGCCAGTACTGTTGGCTACCCACCAGAACTTGATGGAAAGACCCTACTGCTGAAGAGACATGAGCTGTAGAACAAACAAGGAGAAACAAAGCTGGTACTGACTCCAAAGCCTCATATCTACTGCCTGTATTTCCTTAGTGCTGGAAGGTGCTATGCATGCTACTGGAAGAGGAAGTTAATCATCAACCTTACCCAGCTGTGAATCCTGTGAACAATAGTAACAACTGGCCTGGCAAGATATGCCCACTGGTGCAACAGTGGTACAATATTATGTGAGTAATCAACCACTTTCTAGTAAGATTTAAGGTCCGTGTCATAAGATGGAGACCATACCTGACAATGGGTATCAAGTCTAGGAACCTGTGGTGAGACAGGTCATTGGTCTTCGGGGAGAGCCTAATACTATTTTCAACTACATAGAGTGTTAAACTGACTCCTATCAACCTGCTATTATATCCATAGATAAAGGTATAAGAGAAGCTTTCTTATACAGTAGATGGCGATTAACACAAGAGACTAAAAGGCGGCAGAGAATTTATCCTTGAATAGAACATCTGAATCAAATTTCTGCCTTCCAAGGCTCAGGGATCATTGTAGAAGAGGGAGTGGATAGATTCTAAGCGTCAGGATGACCACAGGAAAACAAGAGTTTTCTAGACAGCTGGTCAGTTACTAATAACAACTCAAAAGCAATGGTGACAAGTCTCATGTAAGCTCAAGTCAGACAAAATCCTAACATGGTCATGCAAGGGAAGGTAAGAAACCCTGAATCTAACCTGAGGAACTACTGGCAACTGATGGCTGCTAGGAGAGAATCAGTCTCATTTAAGGGTGAGACTCTTAGTAGGTTGACCAGGCTACAGTGGATGTTACTAATAACAACTCAAAAGCAATGGTGACAAGTCTCATGTAAGCTCAAGTCAGACAAAATCCTAACATGGTCATGCAAGGGAAGGTAAGAAACCCTGAATCTAACCTGAGGAACTACTGGCAACTGATGGCTGCTAGGAGAGAATCAGTCTCATTTAAGGGTGAGACTCTTAGTAGGTTGACCAGGCTACAGTGGATGGAGGAACTCCCAAGAGGCCATTTGGAGACACAAATTTGACTCTATAGGGTGTGTGTGTGTGTGTGTGTGTGTGTGTGTGTGTGTGTGTGTATGTGTGTAAAGAGAGAAAATGAAATGGGGTGAGTAGTAGAGGAAGTGCAGATGGGTGAGGGTATCAAAAGATATTGCATGAAATTCGCAAAACTTCTATTTTTTTTTTTTTTTAAAAAAAAGCACTTGATGCTTTTCCAGAGGACCTGGGTTCAGTTACTAGCACCCATGTGGCAGTACACAACTGCCTGCACATGCACATATGGTATACATACATACAGTCAGGTATATATACATACATAAAATTTTAAAAAGGTATTCAAGAAACGATTCAAAAAATTTTTAAAGCTTTGAAAAATTAAGATCTTTAAGATTTTTCTATTGAGCTTTTGTACATAAAAATTAAGATCTGGCCGGGCGTGGTGGCGCACGCCTTTAATCCCAGCACTTGGGAGGCAGAGGCAAGCAGATCTTTGTGAGTTTTAGGCCAGCCTGGTCTCCATAGTGAGTTCCAGGACAGCTGGGGCTACAAGGAGACTGCCTCAAAAAAAGGCAAAAAAAAAAAAAAAAAATAATAAGATCTTAAAAGTGTCTAACAAGATGAAATTGTTTTTAAATATATATAAACTATGCCATCTCATACCTCCATCTAATAAAAGGCTATAAAATCCCTATAAACAGTAGTATATGCTATTTACCATTGAGAGGAAAAAAATATCAATACAGTATTTTTGAAAAGGCAACTTGAAAATCACTATCAAGATTTAAGTACTCTGCACAGGGCATGGTGGCCTATGCCTTTAATCCCAGCATTGAAGAGGCAGAGGCATGCAGATCTCCATGAGCTCCAGGCCAGACTGGTCTCCACTGAGAGTTCCAGGCCAGCTGGGGCTACAGGGAGGCCCTGTAACAAAAAGACAAAGAACAACAACAAAAAATTTAAGTACTCTTTAGCTATCAACTTCACTTGAGGAAATCTATTCTACAGATTTAAGTATGTTTCTGCCTAGTTAGCTGTTCAATAATATTTACTACAGCATGATCACAAAAGTTAAAGATAGAAAACAAGGGGCTGGAGAGATGGCTCAGCGGTTAAGAACACTGACTGTTCTTGCAGAAGAGCCAAGTTTGAATCCCAGCACCCACATGGCAGCCAACAATTGTCCATAACTCCAGCTCCAGGGGATCCAACAGCCTCTTCTGTCCTCCTCAGGCATTGCATGACACGGTGCACTTACTTACATACAGGCAATACACACACATAAAAATAAAAATATTTTTTAAAAAAAAGATAGTAAACTATATAAAATTAGACACCAGGCATGGTGGCACATGCCTTTAATCCCGGCACTCCGGAGGCAGAGGCAGGCGGATCTCTGTGAGTTCAAGGCCAGCCTGGTCTACATAGTGAGTTCCAGGACAGCTGGGGCTACAGGGAGACCCTGTCTCAAAAAGACCAAAAAAAAAAATTACAGACTACACAGATGATGAATGACAAGGAAGAATACTGTGCGCTTGTAATCATGCATGAAAAAGATCCACGTGTGTATTCATAGTACAAGATACCCAGGCATTTTGTAATTTTTTTAAGAAAACATTTTGAGGCCAGGCATGGTGGCACACACCTTTAATCCCAGCACTTGGGAAGCAGAGACAGAGGCAGATGGATCTCTGAGTTTGAGGCCAGCCTGGTCCACATAGCAAATTTCAAAGAGCCAGGGTTACACAGTGAGACCCTATTACTCAGGGTTGGCGGGGGGGGGTTTGAAACACTATAGTCTCATTTAAATTAAAAATATAAATACACATGTATAATTGACATTTTTAAAATTAAAAATCCTACAATGGTAGCAAAGAAAGGATGCTTACTTTTACTTTGAACACTCATGAACCATTTAAATTCTTTTGGAACCACACTGCATTATAATATACTAAAACATTTTGACCATTAGTAATCATTTTCCTCAGGTAACTAAATTATGCTTTTCCTTGAAGAAAGGGTTTAAATCTAATACATAAATGTTTAAAGATATTTTACATCTTATTAAGTCAAATAAATATAATCAATTCCATTTCACATTTGCAGTCTTCTAGACTAAAAAACTGGAAGATCAATAAATTCTAAACATCATGGACATCTAACATTTTCAAGGTTACATCAACCATTTCTCAGTATAATTCACAGCAAAATACTGAAACTGTTTTCTGTTTATGCGGTTTTAAACTTTTTCCAAAAGAAATGGTTGAAGGGCTAGGGAGACGGCTAGGCTGTTAAGAGTGTTTGCTGTTCTTGCAGAAGACCAGAGTTCAGTTCCTAGCACCCATACCAAGTGGCTCATAATCTACCACTGTGGCTCCATGGGATCCAATGCCCTCTTCTGGCCTCGTGGTACTCACATGCATATGGCAACAGACAAGACACATATACATAAATAAAAATAAGAATAACCAGGTGTGGTGGCATATACCTTTAATCCAAACACTATGAGCCTGATCTACATAACAAATTCCAGGTAGCTTGGGCTACAGGGAGACCCTATCTCAAAAGGACCCCTGCCCCCGCCCCCAAATCGAATAAAATAGTTTTTTCAAGGAACAAAGATATTTTTAAAAACAATCTGAAGTAAAAACAATCATACTACATACATTTAATAGCGATATGGTTGATAATCTTCAAATAGTACTTACTTTTGAGTTTGTAAGCAAGAAAGCCCTTTGTAGATTTTCTTTTTCAGTTAAGCACAATTGCAGTCTGCCAATCTCATCTTTCAAATGAGTAATCATGCTTTCTTTGTTTCCATCTAAATTCTTTAAAGTCTGGACCTCTGACATAAGCTTGGTATTTTCTATTTCTGTATTCTTCAAATGCACCTGTAACAGTTTTGAGATCATCAAGAATATTCTTGTTAGCACCATATCCAAGTTAGTTAAAATTTAAAATACCATTACTCATCCCTAATCCAATAATGACAGAAAAGCAACTAGGTACCAGGAGACCTAAGTTCTACAAAATGACTATCTAGGTATACAGGTGTTAAAATACAGCTTTTTAAAGATTTTTGTTTTCTCCACAGCAACTAATTCTAATTTCTAATTATATTACCTGATTTCTAAGGACTTTTCCAGAAGTTTAATAGTGTGCTGGATAGCTTTAGTGTCAACTTAACACACCTAGGTTGAGGGAGTCTCAATTAGGGAACTGCCTCTATTGGACTGGACTATGACCATGTCTGTGATATGGGAAAGACCCACCCCAGCCCACTGTGGGTAGTCCCACCCCTGGGCAGGTGGGCCTATGTTATATAAGAAAGCAGATTGAGTAGGGGACAGGGGAACAAGTCAGTAAGCAGTGTTCCTCCATGGCCTGTGATCCAGCTCCTGCTTCCAGGTTTCTGCCCTTGTTCCTACCTTGAGCTTCCTGATGAACTGTGATCCGAGAGATACAAGCTGAATAAACCCTTTCCTCCCCAAGTTGGTACTGGTCAGAGTACTTTGTCACAGCAATGGAGAAACAAACTAGAACAAATAATTTTATTTCCTGTTTTAAAAATGTCTGCTGGATAGCTTTAGTGTCAACTTGACACACCTGGGTTAAGGGAGCCTCAATTGGGGAATTACCACTGTTGGACTGGCCTATGGCCATGTCTGAGGGGCATCTTCTTGATGAGTGATATGGGAGGACCCAGTCCACTGTGGGTGGTGCCACCCATGGGCAGGTGGGCCTGTGTTGCATAGGAAAGCAGGCTGAGCAGGGACCAGGGGAGCAAGTCAGTAAGAAGCTCCATGGCCTGTGCTCCAGCTCCTACCTCCAGGTTCCTGCCCTGAGTTCCTACCTTGGGCTCCCTGATGAACTGTGACCTGGGAGATGTAAGATGAGTAAACCCTTTCCTCCCCAAGTTGGTATTGGTCAGAGTATTTTGTCACAGCAATGAAGAAATAGACTAGGACAAAATATAAGTACCTTTGGCTGTTCTTTGAGGAAAGCATTATGCTCCAGGCATATTCAGAAATGAGAACAGCCAAATTCTGAAAACTAGGACTACATTCATTTGAAACATCTATGTGCGGGTACACCAGGGGTGTGACTTTCCACCTTCTCTGAGATGGGTCTTCTCATTCACCACTGTGTACATCAGACTAGCTGGCCAGAGAGCTTCCAGGGAGTCTCATCTCCCACCTGGCTATAGAAATGCTGGGGCTTATAGACATATGCTGCCTCATCCAGGTTTCTATGGGTCCTGGAGATAGGAGGTCAGGTCCTCAACACTTAAGCAGCAAATGCTTTACCCACTGAGTCAACTCATCAGCCCCTCATCTACAAATGTCTATAGGAAATGTTTATTAGTTAAGAAAATGACTCTTAAGCCGGGCATGGTGGTGGCACACCTTTAATCCCAGCACTTGGGAGGCAGAGGCAGGCAGATCTCTGTGAGTTCAAGGCCAGCCTTGTCTACGTAGTGAATTCCAGGACAGCTGGGGCTACAGGAAGACCTTCTTAAACAAAAAAAAAAAAAAAAAAAAAAAGAAAGAAAAGAAAATTACTCTTAATTTTCATCCACAATTAAGCTAACTTCACACTGCAGGAAAGCTTTTAAAAAAGACAAAAATATCAAGACTCATTAGCAGTCTTTTATAAAAGTAAAAATCCCTGAAGATTCTTTCAGAAGTCAAACTGAAATATAATCATGGGGCTGGTGAACTGGCTCAGAAGGTAAAGGCACTTGTCACCAAGAATGACATCTTGTGTTCAATCTACATGGGGAAGGAGAGAGCCAACTCTTGAAAGCAGCTCTCTAACCTCCACATGCCCACCCACATATATACTAAAAATAAATAAATTTAAATCACTGAAAGTCTCTATATTCTTTCTAAATTTTTTATTTATGTATAAGTGTTTTGCCTGCATGTATGTAAAGCACACATGTCATGGAATGCCCAAGGAGGCCAGAAAAGGGTGTCAAATTCTCTGGAACTGGAGTTATGGATGGTTGTTAACTGCCATGTGAGCGCTGGGAACCAAACCCAAGTCCTCTGCCAAGAGCAGCCAGTGCTCTTAAAAGCTGGGCTCTCTCTCCAGCCCCTTTAAATATTTGCTTATTTTTACTTTCTTTGTGTGTTTTGTCTGCATGTATGTAAATACACTACATGCACGCTTGGTGCTTGTAGGGGCCAAAACAGAGCGCTGGATCCCTGGAACTAGACAATTATAAACCATCGCATGGGTGCTGGGAACCAAACTTGAGTCCTCTGTAAAAGCACCAAGTTCTCTTAAACTGCTGAGCCATCTCTCTAGCCCTCAAAGTCTTTATCTCCTTAAAAGGCAAAAATATTTTATATAAATTCTGATACATAACTTTCCTGTTACCTGATCTCTGAGCACTGAACTCCTTTGACTTACTATACAATACCTACTATATATCTAAAATATCAGCATTTTAACTATCTAAAAACTATTTTTTCAGTCTTTTTGAGACAGGGGTCTCCCCGTAACCACAGCTAGCCTGGAGTTTGCTATGGAGACCAGGCTGCTCTTTTTCTTTTTTTTTTCCTACCATTTGTTGTCTATTTATTTCAAGTTGTCAGAGAAGCTTAATCATCTGTGGAAAAACAACCAATGGCTATTTCTCTTAAGTGACAAATACACAGTATGTAACTTTGTATACCTGATAAAAGGAAAATGCATAGTATAAAGAATCGGGAATAGAACAAGAATTGGGCATAGATGACAAGATAGAAAAATCCAAACTCCCACAGAACTCAGCCCATGAAGCTGGAACAGAAACCAACAACTGTTCCTGGCACCTTGGGAGCAAGTGGAGGTTCTGGTTTTGCTACAGTAAGTAATGTAGTTCCCCCTCTAGAAGATGGGTGAGAGTAACCGGCCTAACCTGGTGTCAACCTGAACAGGTAGGTGTTCTAATTCCAGAAAGGTTTGGGGATAGGAGCTCTGCCCCACAGAAAGGCTAGCCCAGTAGGGAGGTGGCCTCTGCAGCCTCAAGTGCCAACAAGGGGGCCCTGTAAGGTATCTGGAGACCACTGGTAGACCAGGCTAGTCTTGTTCTAACGATCTGCCTGCTTCTGCCTCCTGAGTGCTGGGATTAAAGGCGTGCTTCACCATGCCTGGCTATAAAAATTGTCTTTGAGGGACAATGTGCATTAAGATTGAGACTTCCTCTTTCATTCACCTCTCAGATTGTAACTCAGTGAAGTCAGCTGCCATCTTTGTAAGGACATACAAGAGGCTGTGCAGAAAAAGTTGAAGGACTTCCTGAAAAAGCATTTTTCCCCAGGCCTCTATGTAAGCCTTTAGCTGACTAAAGCCCTTGCCATCCTCTAGACTGTAAGAGACCAGGAGTTCAGCTGAACTGCTATCAAATTTCTGACCCAACAGACCCACTGGGGTAATTTGTTACAAAGAAACAGAAAATAGAAATGGGAGAAATTACCTTATAAAGTTCCTTCTCATCCTTTTCGGTCTTCAACTGACATTCAAGTTGTTCTCTTTCATGTTGTGCCTTCCTGAGCTTATCCTTTAAACTGTGTTAAGATGAAAAAAACATTAATATAAACCACAAAAGTTCATTGGACTATTGAAGTTATTGCTTAAAAGCAGAGATACCTGTCTAATTCAGTTTCTTTTTCAATTGCTTTATGTGTCACTGACACAATATCTTCTTCAAGCTGTAGAGCTTTAGATGTAGCATCACTGTATCTCTTCCTGAACTCTTCATTTTCCATTTTCAAATTCTGTGATACTTCAAGAAGGCCCTTGGAAACAACAATAAGGTATTTTTCAGTAAAGCAAAATTGTTACATACCTCAGAAACCTCTCTCCTTTTGGGGGTTTTTTCTTGAGACAGGGTCTCCTTGTAGTCCCAGCTGGCCTGGATCTCACTATGTAGACCACACACTCACAGGGACATCCCTCTGCCTCTGCCACCACCTCAGTGCTGGGATTAAAGGTGTGTACCGCCTGAAATCCGAAGCTAACTTTCATATACTCAAACTGTTTTGTGTGTATGTGTGTCTGAGTGTGTGTGCACATGTACCTCTACAGGATGTGCTTGGCATGCTCATGCAGAGGACAAAAAAAAAAAAAAAAGACACCAGATGTCATCCTCTATCACTATCCATTTAGCCTCTTTTTTTTGAAACAGGGTCTTTCCCTGAACTTGGGGCTTGAGTTTTCTTGGCTAGGCTGGAAGCCAGCAGACCGCAACTTTCTCTGCTCCACTTGGAGCTGGGGTTACAGGCATCTGTAGTGACACCTGGCTTTTTACATGGATGCTGAGATCCAAACCCTGGTCCTCTTGATTATAAAACACTGAGCCATTCATTTATCCAGCTCCCACCAGGTTTTGGTCCTGTTTTGTTTTGAAACAGACTTATCACGTAACAGAAGCTGGCCTTGAACTTCTTATCCTCCTACCTCAGCTTCCCAAGTGCTGGGCTAATACATGCATCAACAAGCCCAGGCTGAAGTATTAACTTAATTATTAATATATATTTTCTTCCCCCAAGATTTTATTTATGCTTTTTTTAAATTTCACTAACTTTTCCACTAGAGAGCTTACAACAAAAGTGAAATAAAAATTTTTAAATGAGTCACTTCGGTTTCTGACATTTTACTTTCATCGTTTTAACAATGAAAATTCAGGTCTCACATGACACTATTAAGGTTCACAACAATTCTAGCATACATCACTTAGTGCCAACTAAGCACTACAATAAATTAGTGGCAAGTTTTGCTTCTAATGTTCCTTTCAGTATGATTCATTCAGAAAGACTAATACAAATATTCAAAGCTAATACAACACACATTAAAAAAAAAATAGAATTTCTACTTTAAACCGATCACTGAAAGCTTAAAATCTCTTCACATGAACTATGACAAGTAAGCATCTTATGAAAACTTGATCAAGCTCCCCTCTCTAAGCTGTAATAAGAGCTCTGCTACCTAATATATAAAATTTTGAGTCAATGTATAGCAGGTAACAACTGAATAACAATGTATACAGAGGTGGTTGTTATGGAAAACTATTCATCAAAAGTCCAATTATTTTCATTTTGGGAAAGCTGCATATGGGACACCACACCTGCAATCGCAACACTCATGCGGCTGAAGAAAGAAGACAGCAAGTTAGAAGTCAGCCTGATCTACACAGGTTGAAACCCTGTACAAAAGGAAGGGCAAATATGAATCACTGCACTAATAGTTGAATTAATTATTAAGCAGGGGCCTTGTTGGCCAAAAGAATGGAACAGGCCCACAAACTTGAAAAGTTTAATCCTGTCCACAGACAGAGAGCTATTCAACCAGCTGTAACATAAGTGAGACTGTGATGTATGTAATTATAATCTGTTTAAGATTTTTCTACACAACTAAAACTTGTGAAAATGTGGTTGCATTTTTTTCATTGCTTTTGGCTTCAAACTCAAATCCATATATATTTCTAATGAAGGTCTGTTTATAGTTATTTTTTTTGCTCAAAAAAAAAAAAACAAAAAACAATTTTAACTAGTTAGGGTTGTTTTGTTTTGTTTTGTTTTCTAGGGTAAAGCAAAGCATGTCTCACATCAAATTTTGTATAACAATATAGCTGGCGTTACTGAATTCTGCTTTTTTGTTGGTTCAGTTTTTGGAGACAAGGCTCTTGCTATGCAGCTTATGCTGGTCTTGAAGTTGGTCTTCAAATCACAGACTTCCTGCCTCACCGAATGCTGGAATTGCAAGCATGTGCCACCTCGCCTAGCTAAATTACGCTTTTTCAAAAAGTAATTTGAATTACTTCATCTACTTTCCCTTTATTCAGTGTTTGTTTCTAACTGAATTTCTCATACCCTCTCCCAAATAATCTAGAATTAGATATAAAGTATCTGGAAAAAATTGCCAAAAGCCCAATGATGGTTCATGTTGCGGAAGATTTCCATGAGTTTGAGACCAGTCAGAGCAACACAGTACAAAAAACAAACCAAAAAAAAAAACAACAACAAAAAAAAACCACAACAAAAAAGTCATCAGACAAGCTGGGCTTGGTTGTACATGCCTTTAATCCCAGCACTTAGGGGAAGGAAGGGGCATGTGGAGCTCTGCGAGATTGAGACTGGTCTACATAGCATGTTCCAGAATAGCTGTGGCTACAGGGAGACCCTGTCTCAAAAAGACAAAAAAAAAAAAAAAGTTATCAGAGACTGTACTATCAAGCCTGGTACCAAAAGTCTGAAAGTATTTTAACCATCTTAAAATGTACAAGAGGCTGTGGTAGAACATTAATAGGAAATGACATTCTTGTTAAATGTCTCTTTAAATGCTACTTTCTTTAAGACCTGATTTCAATTATTTAACTGTTTAATTTTTAGAAAAGGTGGGTACCCCCAGCATTCTACCTACTCCAATCAGTTACACAAGTAACTAACCTTTTGCTCAGCTTGCAGTTGCTCACATCTTTCTTTCTCATGGTTAAGTTCTCCTTCCATTCTTCCAACTTGTTCTCGAAGTTGTGCCGTTTCTTTCTCGAGAACAGCAATTAACTTTAACAATTCTTCTTTTTCTTTCAGGGTTTTCTCAATTTTCAGCTATTTAAAAAATAAAAAAAAAAAAAAACCTCAAATTGGTTTTTGTTCAAAAAACCTCACAATTTTAGTTTTCCATTTTTAAAAGTGAATAAATTCACAAAATTTTTACATTATAATACCTACTTCATATCAAACAACCTGTTATCCTTCACTTAGAAAAATTCACAAATCATCTTGTGGTTAGGTAAATGAGGAAATACTACAAGGCAGAAAATGAATGAAATGTACTATGAAGTTGCTTGTTAACCACTTTTCAATTTACTACTGAAAATAAATGCAAAGACTAAAACAATATATTAACTACAACTGGTTCTTATGGGAATGCTAATACTTAGTTCAGGAAAACTCCAATAGCTCTCCCCCAAATTACCAAAGAACCTGAAATGGTCATAAATAAAAATTATTAATATTTCTTACAATAAGAAGTCTTTGCTTCCAACCAGGGAAGATTGGAAACTGGGAAGACTGTACGAAGGAGGCATTTAGCTGGTAAATGTTTTCCCCAGTATATTAAGGTTTTTCAGTGTTACAGAGTCACAAAGTGATTAAAATCTAAAATAACTCTTATGAAAGGTGAACTGCTAAAAACTACTAATCGGCACCAACAGACCAAATGAAAAGTACACAGGAGGAATACTCTCAAAAGGGAAAAATTGATGGGGGTGAAGGTACTAGAGGGAATTAGAGCGAGGTAGTAATGGTAGATGGGTAAGAAAGATACATTATATAAATGTATAAAATTCTCAAAGAACATATAAAAAAGGGAAAACACCATTTAATCATTCAACTTTTACATCTACTAAAAAATGACTATAATACATGATATCCAGTAAGTCAACAGAAAATAGGACCAATCAAGTATTAACTCTATTATTAATTTAGCATAAAACCTCGCTCAAAACTTTCTAACAGATTAGAAATGGTGAAGTTTCACCTAGTATAATACAAATATTGTAAAAGAACCCAATTTTTTCCACTGAGTAATTTACAATCTTTTATGAAAATTTTTCTAAAGCTTAGTAGAAAAAAAATTTAAAGAATTAAATTAGATTAAAATGTATATAATGGGCTAGAGAGATGGCTCAGTGGTTAAGAGCACTGGCTGCTTTTGCAGAAGACCCAAGTTGGATTCCTAGCACCCACATGGTAGCTAACAACTGTCCTCAACTCCAGTTCCAGGGAATCAGATCTGATGCCCTCTTCTGACTTCTGCAAGCATTGCACAACATGGGTGCACCTACCTATAGGCAAGCTTTTTAGAACACTGGTTGTTCTTGCAGAAGACCCGGGTTCAAATCCCAACACCCACATGGCAGCTAACAACTGTCCATAACTCCAGTCCTAGGGGATCCAAAAGCCTCTTCTGATATCCGCAGGCACTGCATGATACAGGTGCACTTACCTACATGCAGGCAATACACGCAAATACATAAAAATAATTTAAAAAAGAATTTAAAAAAAAATCTAGGTCTGGAAGTATAGTTCAGGAAACTGTCTAGCTTTCTCCAAGGTTCTGGATTTAACCTGCTACATGGCTATTTTTTTAAGTATATTTGGTAATCTTTTAAAAAATATTTTATTAATTTTATGTGTATGAGTGTACTGCCTACATGTATGTAAGTGCACCCACATCATGTAATCAATGCCCATGGAGGTCAGAAGAGGGAGTCAGATCCCCAGAACTGGAGATACTGATGGTTGTTAGCTGCCACGTGGGTGCTGGGAACCAAACCTTGGTCCTCTATGAAGAGCAGCCAGTGCTCTTAACCACTGAGCCATCTCTCCAGTCCTCTGCTTTGCAATCTTTCAAGCACACACATATTCCTCAGGTCACTATTCCTCAATAATCTGCCATCTTCATATCGCTTTTTTTCTTTGGGGGATGAGAAATAAAACAGGGTCTTACACCACAGTCCACATTGGCCTAAAACTCTGCCTCCTGCTTTTGCTTCCCAAATGCTGGGATTACAGACAAACGCCATCTTATCTGGCTACCATTATATTATTTTATGTAATTGTTTTATTCTGTTAAGCCATTTGAAACAAAATCATGAACAATTCACCCCTAAGAACCTCTAATAAGTGCAATTTCCTTTTCAAAAACTGTTTTCATAGGGAAGAAAATTAAAAATAATTTATATCATCCAATAGATATACCTTGATCAAACACCTTTTACTATCCCTAAATGTCTTTTAAGACTATTATCAATCCAATTACACAACTGTATTTCTCATTAATCACTTTTTTTCATTAATCACTCAATGTGTGGTGTTACATAAAATCATTAAAGACTTCAATGTATAATTCTAAAAAGTCTTGTCAGAAAGTAAAATTATTTTATATCAGAAATATTAACCCAGCAGAGCAATTAAGACTTACTTTGTAACACATTCTTTAGAGATAAAAGAAAAAGTGAAGAGATTTGGGCTATGTCCCAATTTACTTTGAGAAAAAGCAACAGAGACGTGGGTACCAAAATGTCTATCATTTGGACAGCTTGAAATAAGGGTGGTCTAACAAGTATTCCAAAAAGCCACAACGGTAATGCTAGCTGCGTTCTTAAGAGCAAGGATTATTTCAGCATCTTTAACTAGAATTCAAATACCAGGATAAAAACCTTGATCATCAGGCAGTTGTCACTACAAAACGTTTTAGTCACCCTATAAAAGTTACATTTCTTATTTAAAATAAGAGAGGAACTTCAGAGGAAAGGAAGGAAAGATAGGGGTTAATTCACAGTAAAACATGGTTAGTTCCTTATAACCTTCTAGTTTGTGACAAGAATATGACAGTATAACCTCTTGTGTTTTGTTTTTTGGTCTCAGTTCTTAAAGGTAAATAAAACAAAATCAAAGGCACAAAATATCTATCTACATGTTTAAATAGATCCACCTGACTATAAAGAAAAAGCAATGACCTGAAATACATGAACTATAGATGTAAACTCACCGAAAAAAAAAAAATAGTGAATCAATATAAAAGGCTACTTTTATTACAGTAGACGACATATAATTAATCACAATAATCCAAACACAACATTCTAGTTTTTCAGATACAGGGTATAAAATGAAATTTTAAAATAAGAAAAGTCTGTTTTTCTATGACTGCTAAAAATTAAAACTAAAGTATTATTAGACCAGCAGACTCTGTAATATTCCATTTCAAAAAGCAGATCTTTCACCTTTTCTTTTAAATGTTTTAATCTAGATGAACAAGAAAAAGAACCACTCTAAAAATGATCAGTCTAAGCTAAGAGAATATGATGCTTCCCTGATTCATTGCCAAACATGAGAAAGGCATGGCTACGGTCTAGTGAAACAAAGGTCACATTCAATTGGCTAAAGACTTATTTCTTTATCTCACTCTCCCAACCAGCTCCATCCCTCAAATCTATACAATTGAATAATCAATAGATTAGGCTGCAATGAAAGAAGAAAGGTTAGGGCAAGGGAACATGAGAACTTTAGGTATAAATTCTCTCAACAGTTACTTTACTACGCTATCTACTGTGCAAAACTATCCTTAGGCCCTGCAACAAATATGTTCTTGGCGCAAATGTGACAGTCCCTACTGTGGGGACCTAAAGGCCCCACCTTGCAGAAGTCCGAGAGGAAGTTACTGGGGTGCGGCCTCACTTGCTTTGAAAGTCTGAAGAATACTTTCGCACTGCTGAGGAGTGATCAGCGCGTGACCATCCTTAAGATACACCCTCAGGGGGGAGGGGGGATTTCCAGGTGCCTTTATAAGCTCTGTAACACCTGCAGTAAATGAGTCCCTGCTTGACTAGGCTCCCCATTGCGCCTGAGTGTTCCTGGTACTGGGGGCAGTGTGGGCTGGCGAACGGTGTGCTTACTCATCCCCAATCATCACTGCGCGGGGGTCGCTGGCTCAAACCCCCCGCAACTGGCGCCCAGCGTGGCGCTTGAAGGACGGTGAAAAGAAAGAAGAAAAACAGATTGGGGCCAATCAAGAAGTTTGGGGTAAGCAAGACCCCAAAGATGGGTAACGCAACTTTTAAGTCTGAGGACCTGGCGCTTAAAGCGCTGAGAGATATGCTTGAAAGCAGGGGACTGGATCCAGTAGCTCAAAAGGTTTGGGTGGAGGCTGTTCATTTGGCTCCTTGGCTACTTGGGGCTAATGTTTTTACTGGGGATACATGGGAACATGTGGAACGTCTAGCTTGACAAAGGGAGGTTCAATTGGGGGTTGATCCGCCACTAGAGTTCTACCCTATTATTTCGGCCTTAAAGGTATGCTTTCGGCACGAGAGCCCTAAGCCCTCGGTGCCACCTCCTGACGAGCCTTCAGAAACCCCAGCATGGGAATCATTGGAAGGGTTTGAGGAAGAAGGCAGAAATGCAACAGAAGTGAAATGAAAGTAACAAGCAGCACCTTGGGCATGCCCTGGCCAGCTTCAGGGCTTCCTAAAACCCATGAAAACCGCCCCCATTTCCAGGATTCTGGCCCCGCTCAAGAGACTTCTGTGAGGCCATGGGTGGAAGCGTATCCTATTAATGTAAACCCAGGAGGCACTCGCCCTGACCCCTGGTATCCCTGGGAGGTGAAGGATCTAAAGGAATTAAAAAAGGCGGTGTCTGAGGATGGCCCGGGATCACCCTGGGTAGATACTCTCCTCCAAGGCTTGGCTCATCAGCAGTATACTACAAAGGATTGGCTGGACCTCACCAAAGCAGTCCTTCCTAGCCCTATATATATATGAAATGGTGCACCCTCTTTAAGGAGGAATGCAGGATACAGGCTGAGAGGAATGCAAGTGCCAACACACCGGTCCCCATTACTTTGGGATGTTGACTGGTTCAAGTGACCGTTATGCCACAGGGGAGCAACAGTCGGGCATTCCAGCCCCATATACAGAACAGGTCAGGGTCATAGGATTAAATGCTTGGAGAAAATTGGACGAGGGGCCTACCGAATCCCCCCTTGCAGGAATTAATCAAAAGCCTGGTGAACCCCTCTATGAGTTTATAGACAGAGT